CCCATTTTTTGTGGCCGTTTGCGGTCCGGTACGCTGCACATCAGCTCAACCTCTGGCCCCGTGTCTCTTTGCCGGAGACCTCGCCTACACTGCGTTGGACGGAGAAGGTTGGCGATGCGCGGAAAAGCTCTCCTCCCGCGCCATTCCCTGCGCCTTCCTTGGCTTTCCCCCTGATGCGCCTGGCTGACAGTTTTACCACCCCACCTTGCACCGTGTCCTGTCCTCTTAGGAGGTCACATTTGACGAGTCGGTTCCCTTTGACTGTCTCTTCCCCTACCGTCGCTCTTCCTCGCTCCAGGTCCCCCTCCGGTAGACCCCCTCCCCCCTCAGGGTCCTGCTCCCTCAGGTGTGTCTCAGGTAGACCCTCTCCCCCTGGCTGAGCCTGTCGAGGTCATTGTAGACTCAGGTGCTGCTAGGGGTGCTACGTCTGGGGGTGCTGAGCCAGTGGGTGCGGATCCTGGGGGTGCTGAACCTGCGAGTGCGGAGCCTGGGGGTGCTGAGCCTGAGGGTGCGGAGCATGGGGGTGCTGAGTCTAAGGGTGCGGAGTCTGGGGGTGCTGCATCTGCCGGAGGTCCTGCGAGTGCCTCGCCACGACAGTCTCACCGGTGGGAGCCTCTCTCACCGCAACAGTTGCGCGAGTGGTTTGCTCGGCACAAACACCTTAGGGGTGGCACTGCAGGAGCTGGAGGCCCTGCCGTTGTAGGCAGTGGAGCTACAGGTGATGGAGCTACTAGTCCTGGAGGTGTTGGAGCTACTAGTCCTGGAGCTGCTGGTCCTGGAGGTGCTCGTATTAGAGATACTAGAGCTGCCGGAGCTGGTGGTGTTTGAGGCGCTGGAGCTGGAGACCCTGGAGCTGGAGGCACTAGAGCTGGAGACCCCGGAGCTGGAGGCACTGGTGCTGGAGGCGTTGGAGCTGGAGGAGCTGGAGCTGGAGACCCTGGAGCTGGAGGCGTTGGAGCTGGAGGCGCTGGAGCTGGAGGCCCTGGAGCTGGAGACCCTGGAGCTGGAGACGCTGGAGCTGGAGACCCTAGAGCTGGAGGCGCTGGCACTGGAGGCGCTGGAGCTGGAGGCACTGGAGCTGGAGACCCTGGAGCTGGAGGCTCTAGAGCTGGAGACCCTGGAGCTGGAGGTGCTGGCGCTGGAGACCCTGGAGCTGGAGGCCCTGGGGCTGGAGGCCCTGGGGCTGGAGGCGCTGGAGCTGGAGACCCTGGAGCTGGAGGTGCTGGCGCTGGGGGTGATGGAGCTGGCGGTACTGGTGCTGGAGGCACTGTGTAGCGGCGACCGTTTTTCGTTCCGCCGCCGTCGTCATCTCTGCCGCCACCTGGCTCGGTCCTTCTCCAGGTTCTTAGTCTCCCGTCTTCTACTGGCCTTACTCCTAGCTTGCTGTGTCCATCGCCTCACCAGTGGCAGCCACAGTTACAGCCAGACTCCCCACTGCCTGCTCCTTCTCCTTACACTGAGCAAACAGACTCTCTTACAGAGCGTCGTGAGCCAGAGTCTCGTCCTGCCTCGCCTGTTCGCGCTGTTCGCACTGGTCGTCGTGTTCCTCGTCCGCGTCCTCCTTCTGTCTTCGACACTCACATTATGGCACTTTTTCCTTCCTGTGTTCCACTGCGAGTTCCCCTGCCGTCTTCTCCTGCGTCCTCTCTTGCTGACGGTCCGGACCCTGAGTCTGACTTAGTTCGTGCTGTCAGTCCTACTGTCCAACGTCTTCTAGCCATTCTTGTCACTTAGCCTTCGTTTGAGTCCACTGCTGCGTCTGCCCTAGTTGCTGAGCTTGTTGACTTTGCTGCAGCTTGTCGCCTAGACTACGCCACTAGTCTTGTTGCTGAGTCTGCGTCTGCGTCTGTCTGTCCTCCGTCCGTCAGGGGTGAGTGTGCTCTTGGCACGGACGTTCTTGAGGACAGACAGGAGGAGTTTGAGTGCTTTGCCGCTGCTGTACCTCATCTCGTATCCATGCTGCTTGCCCCTGAGGGAGATCCGGATGCACCAGACATCCCGACCCCGCGCTCTTACGCAGAGGCGATAGAGGGTCCCTACTCCTCTCAGTGGCAGGCAGCCATGGACGCCGAGATGGCTTCCTGGAAGTCCACAGGCACCTACGTCGACGAGGTTCCCCCGCCTGGGGCGAACATCGTCAGTGGCATGTGGATCTTCAAGGTGAAGCGGCCGCCGGGTTCTCCGCCTGTCTTCAAGGCTCGTTACGTTGCATGACGCTTTAGTCAGCGATAGGGAGTTGACTTCTTCCAGACCTTCTCCCCTACCCCCAAGATGACCACTCTTCAGGTGCTACTGCACGTCGCCGCTCAGCGTGACTACGAGCTTCACTCTCTTGACTTCAGCACAGCTTTCCTGCAGGACATCCTGCACGAGGAGATCTGGCTGCGCCGCCCACGTGGAGCCTCCGGCGGCCAGTCTACGGTCTCCGCCAGGCGCCTCGCGAGTGGCACGTCACACTGAGGACAACGCTTGTGGCTCTTGTGTTTGCTCCTTTGACTGCTGACCCGTCGCTGTTTCAACGCACCGACATTTCGCTGCCGCCGTTCTACATCCTCGTGTACGTCGACGACTTGGTTTTTGCCACTGCTGACACTGAGGCACTGGCCCTTGTGAAGTCGGAGCTGTAGAAGAGACACACCTGCACTGACCTGGGTGAGCTGCGCAGCTATCTTGGCTTGCAGATCACCCGGGACAGAGCACGGCGCACCATCACCTTGACTTAGTCACACATGGTGCAGCAGGTCCTTCAGCGCTTCGGCTTCCGGTACTCCTCGCCACAGTCCACTCCTCTGCCTACCGGTCACTCGCTCTCATCTCCACCTTCGGACGAGTCCGTAGAGCCGAGTGGCCCGTATCCAGAGCTTGTGGGCTGCCTCATGTACCTGATGACCTGCACTCGACCTGACCTTGCCTACCCTCTTAGCATCCTGGCACGCTACGTTGCGGCCGGGAGACACCGACCGGAGCAGTGGGAGGCCGCTAAGAGGGTGTTGCGCTACTTATGCAGTACATCAGGCATGGGGCTCGTGCTTGGAGGACGGGGTCCAGTTGTCCTCACTGGACACGCAGACGCTTCTTGGGTTGTCGACTTGGCTACGCAGCGGTCGTCACAGGGTTACACTTTCAGCCTTGGCTCCGGCTTTGTTTCTTGGCGGTCTACCCGTTCGTCTTCTGTTCTCAGTTCCAGCTGTGAGGCTGAGATCTACGCAGGGGCCATGGCTGCACAGGAGTTACGCTGGCTCACCTACCTGCTGACCGACTTGGGAGAGCGGCCTCGTTCTTCTCCAGTTCTGTACGTAGACAACAATGCCATGATTGCCTTGTGTCTAGAGCACAGACTGGAGCACAGAGCGAAGCACATCGCTCTGCGTTACTTCCTTGCTCTAGAGCTGCAGCAGCGTGGTCAACTTCGTCTTGCTTACGTGGCCACTCGGGCCAACACTGCTGATATATTCACCAAGGCACTTCAGTCTGTCAGAATCCCAACCACTAGACCATTGGGATAAAAGGGCTTGTTAAGTAGCGGGTCAGTGCGCCCATAACCCCCCAAGACAACGAACCTGTAACCCTTCCCTAGGATCAATCAGGGATCACCAGTGGATCTCTGACATGACGGTGGAGTAGGAGTAGTACCGGGAGATCCAGTAGACAAGCTTCTTTCTTTCTGTGTTGCCATGTCTTCTGTTGTTGCAGGAAGTTGAACAGAGTTGGGTTTTGTCTTGCAGGCTTTTATACCATGTTGGGCTGAAAAAACCTTTAGGATCGTTTTAAGACTAAACTCTAAGAGTGGTGATGTATTAGCGGAAGCGTAATAGTGGATTAATTGAACCACCTTGCACTAGTATGTGAGAACAAGATGAGTTGATTATAGTTAAGAGATACAAGGTTTTATATGATTACAAGGAATACGAAAAGTTTAACTGTAACTACTGTTGCGGTTCGATACAGCGACGACTCGAGTAACTGCTCAATAGCGAGTCAGTTATGTGTCCTTGCTGTCGCGCTGCTTTTCGGCGAGTCGAAGGTCGCTGACCTTTGACCTTCGCTTAACCTCTTGCTGACGTCTTCTTGTCAACCGCTTTGGTTGACTCGCCGTTACTTCGTCGTAGTTCGCTTCGCTTACTTTGTAGTGTTTGACATTTCAGAAGCGCAAACTAGATGTTTCCAACATTCACGACCTCAACTCTAAACCCAGAAAAAAAAAACAAGATAATCATATGGCAGCTGTTGCACGAATAGCGCGCAGCTGCCGCACATCACTTGCGCCTCCCAATTCTCATTCTCAATCCCCCCAATGCTCACTCATTTCCCAGTCATGCCCTCCTCTTCTCTAGCCCACTCCTGTCCCCACTCGCATTTACACTTGAATATACAGGAACGGGCGCCTAGGCTAACCCAAACACCATCTGAGCCTACGCCTCATCTCTCTTCCAGGCTTGACCACCCTTACAATCAGCACTAGTCGGCTTCCGCCACTTCCCCAGCCACCAGCCGTTACAACACCAGTATGGTGTACTGAATTGGTGCTGAGAGGCACCAGCCAGACACCAAACCCCAATACGTAGTTCTGAACACAGTGCAGGTGAAGAGGGGGGTTCAGAGGGAAAGGGGTGGGGAATGGTATGGTAGAAGAACAGCAAGGCAAGGCAAGGCATGGCCTGTCGTCAGTAGTCACCTTGGTGTGAGGGCAAGAGCCATGGCCTGCAATCACGCACTCTGTTACAGGCACACGCGAGAGGGGTGAATGTCTCGGCACTTGGCTGCTCTCAAGGCAACCATCTCTGCATCGTGCTGACAGCATCCCAGGCACACACACATCTGCCCAAAAGCACTCATCTGTCACCGGTGCACAGAAGCCCTACCTGTCACATGACCAGTGCCGCTTTCCTTGTGGCCTTCATTTCTCAACTGCCTAAGTTGCTCTCTCGATTACTAGTATGAGCCAAACGCACACAGTGGCCCTCACCTCACCTCACCTGTCACCACCACTCTGAACCACTTCATCTCTTGAGCGCCCCTCCAGCAGCCTCCGCTGCTCTCTGTCGCATCATCTCCTGCACCGCCTTGCGCCGCCTCGACTCCATCTGCTGCGCCGACCGCCGGAAATGCTCCTTGAGATCCCTGCGAGTGGAGAATAGAGTAGCGGCAAAAAGAATGGCCACGTAAGGAGAAACGGCATGAAGCACGGCAGGCAGAAAGCAGGGCAGAGGATAAGACAGTTAGGAAAAACAATACCCAGCAGCGGCTCCGTTTCCACCTGGTGCACGAGACTCACGTGAAGGAAGGCACAAGAAGGTCGTGGCACACACGACCGACCCTAGCTCCTGAACCGCTTTCGACCCTCTCCTCCCATGGGCCAGGGAGCACTTGCTGCATCAAGCACTCGCAGAGAGGCAAAGCAAGCCCATGGACCACACAGGACCAAAGCTTGGTCTTGAACCGCTCTCAAACCCTCTCCCCGGGACTCACTTGCAGCGCGGCACTTTGCAGAGGCTGTCCTTGCAGGAGCGTGCATGCAGGTGAGGTGAAGCATGCTTACACAGTGAACTCACGTGTGGGCAATGTAAAACTCACGTGTGGGCAGGCAATGTAAAACTCACGTGTGGGCAGGCAATGTAAAACTCACGTGTGGGCAGGCAATGTAAAACTCACGTGTGGGCAGGCAATGTAAAACTCACGTGTGGGCAGGCAATGTAAAACTCACGTGTGGGCAGGCAATGTAAAACTCACGTGTGGGCAGGCAATGTAAAACTCATGTGTGGGCAGGCAATGTAAAACTCACGTGTGGGCAGGCAATGTAAAACTCACGTGTGGGCAGGCAATGTAAAACTCACGTGTGGGCAGGCAATGTAAAACTCACGTGTGGGCAGGCAATGTAAAACTCACTTGCAGCGCGGCACTTTGCAGAGGCTGTCTTTGCAGGAGCGTGCGTGCAGGTGCAGCAGCCCCCACATGCGCTTGCAGTGTTGGCAGCCCCCTGCCGACCGCACGGTACAGATGGTGCCGTGACGGAACAGCATCTTGACCATGCTGCACTTGGGGTACGTGCATACGGTGCCTGGCTGGGGGCGGCACGATGCTGCGTGGGCCAAGAGCTCGAGCATCTTGCGCACCTGCAGAGACACAAGGCGGAGGAAGGAAGAGGGGGAGGGAGGGGAACAACATCTTGACCATGCTGCACTTGGGGTATGTGCACACCGTGCCGGGCTGTGGGCGGCACGATGCTGCATGGGCGAGTAACTCGAGCATCTTGCGCACCTGTGGGGGTGAGAGGAGGGGAAAACGGAGCGGGGTGGGGGGGGAAGGAAAGGGGACAGCATCTTGACCATGCTGCACTTGGGGTACGTGCACATCGTGCCGGGCTGGAGGGGCGACAGGATGCTGTGGACCCATCGCAACACCCCCCACACAGCCCCAACTAATGCTAGATTTGAGGCGCCTCAAAACTCGACATGATGCTATGGGCCCATCTAAACACCCGCTACACAGCCCCACCCAATGCTCCCTGCCAGCCAGGCTGTCACCCACTCCCCCTCACCTCCGCACCATTCAAACACCCACCTTCCCTGTCCCCCACCACCCCTCACCTCCTTGATGCACTTTTTTTTTTTTTTTTTTTTGCTGTTGATCCTTTTGCTAAAGCGTCACCATCACGTACTGCAGCCCTTCGACTATGAGTCAGGAACACCCCCCCTCACCTCCTTGATGCACTGCTGCCGCCCCTCCTGGCTCTGCACATTCCTATCCGGCTGGCTAGCATGCGACACGAGCGGGCGCGGGTGCCCACACGTGTCCTTGCACGAGGCACGCACGTCATAGCCCCATCCAATGCTCCCTGCCCCCCACTCCCTCTCACCTCCTTGCCACCTACTTCCTTCACACACACACACACACACACACACACATCACAATCAAGCCCTCCCTGAACTAACTCCTCACCTCCTTGATGCGCTGCTGCCGCCCCTCCTGGCTCTGCGCGTTCCTATCCGGCTGGCTCGCATGCGACACCAGCGGGTGGGGATGCCCACACGTGTCCTTGCACTGGGCGCACACGTCATAGTCCGGGCACTGCTCGCACCGCCACCCTTGCCGGTTCTCAATGTCCCGCTGGCACGCGTTGCAGGTGACGACAAAGGCGGGCGCGGTGGGGTTGTGCAGGTGGTAGAGCACCATGAGGGAGGAGTGCTTGGCGCGGCGCAGCGTGTCGTACTGGTAGTGGTTGCCCTGGCACAGAGAGAGGAAGGCCTGCCGCGTGTCAAAGAATTCAGACTCCACCACCTCGTCGGGGTCCTTCGTTTCCATGGGGACTAGCGGGTCGATGGGGCGCTGGTGGGGAGGGGGGGAACGGGAGGGGGTGCAGGTTGTGGCATGAGCAACAAGTACCTGGCACAGCGACAGGAAGGCCTGCCGCGTGTCAAAGAATTCAGACTCCACCACCTCGTCAGGGTCCTTCGTTTCGGAAGGAACCAGCGTATCGATGGGGCGATGGGGGGAGAGGAACCGGGGGAACGGGGAGGGGTGGGCACAGGGAAGGGGAAGGGAGAGCAGAGGGGGAGGGAGGGGTGGGCGCGGTGAGGTTGGGTTGTGCAGGTGGTAGAGCACCATGAGGGAGGAGTGCTTGGCGCGGCGCAGTGTGTCGTACTGGTAGTGGTTGCCCTGGCACAGCGACAGGAAGGCCTGCCTCGTATCGAAGAACTCAGACTCCACCACCTCATCCGGGTCCTTTGTTTCGGAAGGAACCGGTGGGTCGATGGGGCGCTGCGGGCGCACAGGGGTGGGGGAGGGTTGCACGGGAGGGAGGGGAAGCAGAGGGGAAAAGAAGGAGGGTTGTGCAGGTGGTAGAGCACCATGAGGGAGGAGTGCTTGGCGTGGCGCAGCGTGTCGTACTGGTAGTGGTTGCCCTGGCACAGAGACAGAAACGCCTGCCGCGTGTCAAAGAATTCAGACTCCACCACCTCGTCTGGGTCCTTGGTTTCCAAGGGGACTGGCGGGTCGATGGGTCGCTGGAGGGGATAGTGGGGGAAGAGGAGGGGTGGGCACGGAGGAGGGGCGGAAGGAGGAGCTGGGTTGACGTGGCACAGGCGGAGGGGAGAGGGTGAACAGGCAGTAAGGATGGACAAGCAGGAGATGAAAGGAACTCACAGGTTTTTGCTAACTTCGGCACTCACAGAGGTCATGGTTTGAGACCTCCCAAGAACACCCACGGGTCTCAGTTTGTGGTTTGAGGCACCTGTAAGCTGTCAAGAACACTCACAGGTGCGAGTTGGTGGGCCTCTTTAAGCAGCACGGGGTGGCGGTCCACGGGGCTGATTTTTTTGGCGCCTCAAAACTGGCCTGGTGTGTGTCAAGCAGTCACGGGTGACGGGTGTGTGTGTGAAGCACTCACGGGAGCGAGTTGGTAGGGAGCACTCACAGGTGCGAGTTGGTGAGCCTCTTTGAGCAGCACGGGGTGGCGGTCGACGGGGCTGCGCCGCTCCTCCTGCTTGAAACACCTGCTCGGCACAGAGCAAGGGGTGGGGAGACAAAAGCAGAAAAGCGGAAAGCAGATGGTTAAGTGACCATGGCCAAAGAGGGAGTATGACCATGGCATGAGGCAACGAGGGAGCATGGAGGGACAAAGAAAAGGGCTACCGGGGAGGGGAGTGCGGTAGGGGATGGCGGTAAGGGACGGCAGTAGGGGGGGCTCTCACGAGTCGCAGATGCTGAAGTGCTTGCAGTGCGGGTGTAAGCAGACCCATCTGTTGCCGGTGATAATGAAATTCTTGCAGTGCGAGCAGCAGTAGTGCATGTGCACCATTATGAAATCCTCCTTCATCTGTAGAATCGTGCTGCCCAGCTGCGGGTGGGGCGAGGGACCGAGGCGGAACGAGGGAGCGAGAGGGAGCGAGGCAGGGTTAGCTCCTTGAACAGGTTGCCGTACACAAGAATGCCTTAGATACTTTCATCCTTGCCCTCTCATCTACTTTACCCCTGCCCCCCACCTTCCTTTCTCACCTTGCTCATCAGCTGCTTATCCAGCGAAGCCGGAGTCCACAGGCCGTCATCCCTCCCCCCTACCCTCTCCTGTACCACCGTTCTCACGTCCTCACAGAACGTTCTCACATCTCTCCCCTCCCACCTGCAAACCCCTCGCTTCCTTACCTCTTCAAGGGAGGCCAATCACGTCCCTCTTCTCCTCCCCCTCCCTCTCACCTTGCTCATCAGTTGCTTATCCAGGGAAGCCGGAGTCCCCAGGTCCTCATCCCGCCCCCCTCCGCCCCCGCGCTTGCTTGAAGCCTTGCTCTTCTTGGCCTTCTTGGGCCCTTTTCCCCCGGCCTTCTCCTCCTCGCGCTCCTCCAGCAGCTTCTGCAGCTCGTCCTCCATGGCGCCCGGCCAGTAGTCCCCGTCGAAGTACGGCAGGCGGGCAGCGGAGGGCAGCGCGCGGCACTCGCCGATCTGCACGAAGAATGTGTCGTACAGGTTGCTCACCTCCACCACTATGCTCTCTGCGGTGGCCTTGCGCAGCATCGTGAGGTACCTGGTTGTAAAGGGATGGAGGGGGGGGGCGGTTCAGAGATACGAATGTGTCGTACAGGTTGCTCACCTCCACCACTATGCTCTCTGCTGTGGCCTTGCGCAGCATCGTGAGGTACCTGGTTGTAAAGGGGATGGAGGGGAGGGAAAAGAGGGACAGAGTCGTTTCGGTTTCAATTCAACCGTGCATTTTCATATTAAGTCAGACCGAATGGAGACACGACTGATGAGGGTTGACCACACCAAGAGATACGCAGTAGCACTGAATTGCTCAGTGCACCACTCACACACCTGATTTAACAGCATGGCATGGCCACATGTAGCAAGCAACATACCATTCGCGCAGCTTGACGGGTTGAGGCGTCTTCTGGATCTCGGGGTGGCAGTAGAGGATGTAGTCTTCTCCCTTGAGCGGAGGGCATGCCCAGATGTAGCAACTCGTGAAGCCACGCATCTTGGAATACTCCAGGTACCCGATCTGGTGGGGGGGAGGGAGGGATGGTGTATGAGGGTTGGCGCAAGGGCAAAGAAGGAATATACCCCTTGAGCGGCGGGCACGCCCAAATATAGCAGCTCGTGAAGCCACGCATCTTGGAATACTCCAGGTACCCGATCTGGTGAGCAGGGAGGGTTAGTGTGGGAGGATTGTTGTGGGAGGGTGGGTGTGGGAGAGTTGGCGCAGAACAGGGAGGCAATAAAGGACGTAGTCCTCCTCCTGATCCTTGAGGGGATGGCAGCTGCCGCGCATCTTAACCTACATCCATGTAGTCGCGGTGGGAGAGGTGGGAAAGGTAGATGAGGCACCACTGCACCTCACCAGTATCTCGAGGCAGTGGCACCAGTATTTCGTGATAGAGAAACCGCGTGTTTTAATAAATTGTACACATTCGCTGTGTGTCTCAACGCACTCACCAGATCCATGGTACACGAATGTGTGCTGCAGGGCCTCGCGCCATTGACAGTACAGTACAGGCATGCAGGCGGAAGTACTTGATCGGGTCGAGGAAGGGGAGGTAGATGGAGCTCGCCCCCTTTCCAACCAAAGACAATCACCAGCGATTCTTGGCAACACAGTGGTACACTGGCCCACTCACTCACCAGAATCTCGTGGTAGACGAATGTCCGAAGGGCCTCCCCGTTGGCTGTATGGACATCCGGGCGGAAACACTTGATGGAGCCGAGGTAGGAGAGGTAGATGCGGCGGTGGTTGGCCCAAACCAAGAGGCTCACCTGTACCTACAGGCTACAGACAGGTAAGCTCACCAGAATCTCGTGGTACACGAAGGTGTGCAGCGCTTCTCCATTCACAGTGCGCACGTCCAGGCGGAAATACTTGATGGAGTGGAGGTAGGAGAGGTAGATGCGGCGGTGGTTGGCTTGAACCAGGAGATTCACCAGCACCTAGCAGCAAGCAAGCACACCTGCACCTAGAGGCAAGGTCACTCACCAGAATCTCATGGTACACGAATGTTCTCAGCGCCTCCCCGTTGACAGTGCGCACGTCCGGGCGGAAATACTTGATGGAGTCGAGATAGGAGAGGTAGATGCGGCGGTGGTTGGGCGGCAGGCAGTCGGCACCAAACTCCTGCACGTACATGGCGTAGAGACACACCTCCACGCCCTCTATGCGCTGAAACAGCAGCACTACCTGGTGGGTTGGGGGAGGGGGGGGTGGGGGTGGATGTGAAAGAGAGAGAGCAGAGATGGCCAATTGACGGGGATGGGGCTGCACCAGAGTCAACTCCTGCACGTACATGGCGCAGAGACACACCTCCACGCCCTCTATGCGCTGAAACAGCAGCACCACCTGGTCGGCGGGACAAAAGGGAGGGGGAATAATACGAAAATGATGTGGAATAAGTAAAGGGATGGAGTGGCAAGAAGGGAGCAAAAAAGGTGGAACAGCGGACGAGGGGAAGGGGACATATCCTTGCCCTCTCAGTTCATTTGCCACCATCCCAATAAGCTCCCATTGAAGCTAAACGAAACGTCAGTCACATACGGCCACCCTCACATCATGCCACGTCCCCTTCCTCCCCTGTCCCCCATACCTTGGACTTGTACGGGAACTCCTTGGGGTATTCCCCATCGGGGAACATGTTGAGGAAGCGTGGCTTCGTCTCCATCCTCTTGTCCACTGATGACACCACTCGGATCACCAGCTCCTCTGGTCCTTCCACCTGCATGCACACACAGCGAATGAGAGCACGAGGGACAACAAAACGCACACTTTTAACCAGGTGACTGATGAGCTGCTGCAAGAGTTGGTCCAAGGTCTCAAAGCCTCTTCGCCGGAGCTTCGAAAGGTGCGAGCAAGGCAAAACCCTGGCCCCAGCACAATGGAGTGTTGGGTACTAAGGGAAGTGGTGGCACCTGACTGGCACCACAAGGATCGATTAGACTCACCTCCTCTGGTCTCTTCCTCTGCTGCCTCGCCCTCTCCTCCCTCTCCTGCGCCAGCCTCTTCGCCAGCCGCCCTTCTAGATGATCTGAGAGGTGCGAGCGAGGCAGGTCTCTGGCGCCGAGAACAGTGGAGGGCGGGAGTGGCGCCCGGAGGCCTCGCTCCATCTGCTCGCAGCAGCACAGCGGACAAGTGTACTCCGCCTCGCCCTCGTTGCGCCGCCCGTTGAACAGCGCACACACCTGGTGCACCCACCGGTCACACGTGTCACATTGTACCCACTGGTGGGGGTGAAGCGAGAGGGGAGGGGGCAGGCGAAGGAAGAGGAAGGGGTAGTGTGAGAGACGATGGTCACCATTGAACAGCGCACACACCTGGTGCACCCACCGGTCGCACGTGTCACACTGCACCCACTGGTGGGTGCGGCACACAAGGTGAGCGGGGAAGGGGAAGGAAGAGAAAGGGGTAGAGTGAGGGGTGCTGGTCACAGTTGAAGAGCGCACACACCTGGTGCACCCACCGGTCGCACGTGTCACGCTGCACCCACTGCTCGGTTGGAGCAACGGAACAACAGGAAGGGAAGAGTGAGAGACGAAGGTTACCGATTTTCCAACAGATTGCGCATACAAGCGAAGGAGAGGGGAACAGGGAGAGAAGGTTGGGACGGGGAGCCAGCGAGATCAAACGGAGAACAGCAAACGGGAGGACCAGGGAGAAAGAAATGCACAAGAAATGCACATACCGCTTCCTCTGTCTCCTCATCATTGATCCTCTTGGTGAGACTAGCCTTGGGAATCGGCCTGAGCCCCTCCAGCGTGATGGCATCCCCCCGAAAGTCCCCGAAGCACCGATTGCACACGCACTGCCGCTGGTCGCCCGCTCCCGCCGTCGCATAATACGCCTTGTTCCTCTGAATCCTGCGCCCACACGCCGTGCAGTAGATGGGCGGCGGGTCGAAAAATAGCTTTTCCACGGAGCACAGCCGGCAGTCAGAGTCTCGAGGCTGCTGCTGCTGTAACTGCTGCGCTGCCTGCAGCTTCTCCTGCTTCTGCTTGCTCTGCCCCACCCACTGCCTCAGGCTCCGCACGTGCAGCCGGATCATTTCTGGCGTGAAGAGTTCGGTTAGCGACGTGCCCACGCCCTTGTTCTTCATGCTCTTGTTGTTCGCTGCTGCTGCCGCCGCAGCTGCTGCCGCTGCTGATGCTGCTGCTGCGGCTGCTGTTGTGGTGGTGACTGCTCCCGCCCCCCCTGCAGGGACAAGCGCCTTGCTATCTTCTGTCCGAGGCTCTGCCTTCACACTCGCCGCGCCACCACCAGCACCCCCTGCGCCAGACACACCTGCCCCAGCCCTACCCTCCGCCTTCACCTGCCCTGCCCCTGCCCCTGCTGACCCTACCCCTCCCTCTGCCTTCACTGCAGCACTACCAGCAGCAGCGGCAGCGGCAGCAGCAGCTTTAGCTTGTGCGCCTGCTCTCCCTGAAAAAGCCCCGTTGGCACTTCCCTGCATCTTGCTGCCAGCAGCCTTGCCTGCCTTGGCACCAACAGGCCTCTCTGGCTTCTCCTTCTCGCCACCACCACCACCACCACCACCACCACCACCACCACCAGCACCACCAGCACCAGTACCTCCTGCTGCTGCTGCTGCTGCTGCGCTGCCAGTCTCTGCCTTCACACCTGAGCTCCGCTTTGGCCCACCACCTGTTGCCTTTAGACCCGCCACCCCGCCTTCCAGCTTCGCCCGTTTCAGTGGCTGTGCCCCTGCCCCCTTCTCCTTCTCCTTCTCCTTCTCCCGCCCTGGCTCTGCCACCCCGCCCTCCCCACGCCTAGCTCCCTCGTTCGGCCTCTTCTGCCCTGTAATGGCCGGCCCAGCACCAGCTGAGCCTGAAGCCGCTGCTGCTCCTGCTGCTCTAGCAGCACTGGCAGCCGCAGCAGCTTGCGCTGCCCTCTCCACAGGAACTGCTGCAGCCCCAGCAGCAGGACCCAGCGGCGTGCCTGAAAGAGGAGCGGCAGCAGGAGCAACGCCAGGAGCCGAAGCTCCGTTAGCAGATGCCCCCTTGCCTGTGGCTGTGCCCTCAGGTGCAGGTGCTTCTGACTTAACAGCAGTACCTGTGGTGACAACAGGCACAGGAGTGGAGTGGTCTGCCTGCCCGCCTGCACCAGCTGCAGTCGTGGAAGCGTCGCCATTCACTGTAACCGCTCCACCTGCCACAGGCACTGTCGTGACTTGGCCATCAGTGGCACCTGCTTCTGCCTCTGCCTCTTTCCCATCCTGTCGCTCACTCCCAGCACCAGCAGCAGCATCAGCGGCAGCCTCGGCAGGAGCAGCCGCTGCAGCCGCAGCTGCAGCAGCAGCTGCAGCCGCTGCCGCAGCAGCAGCCGCTGCGTTTGCCCTCGCTGCCAGCATCTGCTGCTGAAACGCGCGCCTCACAGGCCCACACACGGGGCACTTGGGATCTCGACAAATCTGGTGGTGGTGGAGAAGCTTCCTGGAAGGGACGCAGCGGGGGTAAGCGCACTCAGGGTCCTTGCAACGAGAGCAGTGGGCCCAGAGCTCCCTGAACACACGGCAGTGCGCGCCCACGTTGCAGGAGCCGTTGGCAGCAGTGCAGCGCGATGCATGGCGCAGCGTGTGCAGCCACTTCTGCTGCCGCTGGTACTGCATGGCCCGCTGGGGGTCGATCGCTCCGCCTCCTGCTGCTATATCCCCCGCTGCTCCCGTCCCCGCTCCTGATTCCACTCCTGCTCCTGCCCCAGCTCCTGCTGCTGCTCCTCCTCCTGCCCCTGCTCCTGCCGCTGCTCCTGCCCCTGCAGCAGCTTTGGCGGAAGCTCCAGTACTATCAGGCACGCCATTCAACACTGAACCTGTTGCTCCAGAACCGGGTGTTGAGCCAGAGGGCTGCTGCTGCTGCTGCTGCTGCTGCACTTGCTGTGAGATCACTGGCCCTTTTCCCCCCTGCATCCGCTGTGGAAATCCCGCGTTCCCCTTAACCTGCGGGTGCTGCTGCGGCTGCTGGCGTGACTGCTGCTGATGCGCCATCACACCACCTGCACCACCCACGCCAGCAGCACCGGCACCAGCCCCGGCCACAGCAGCACCGTCCCCCACAGCCCCACCTGCCCCACCCGGCCCCCCTGCTGCCCCAGCCCAACCAGAGGCGCCGTCGCGAGCAGCAGACGCAGTGAGGCCCCCAGCGTCCATCACCGGGGGGCCGCCAGGCGTGGGGATCATGAGAGACGCGCCACCCGCCCGCGCTGCCTGCTCCGCTGCCCCTCCCGCCCCTGCTGGGCCGGAAGGGATGGAAGAGCCTGGTGGCAGGTACCCTGGCATTGCTGCAGACACGGAGAGGGAGAGGCGCAGGGAGGGAGGAGAGGCGCAGGGAGGGAGGGGATGCGCAGAGAGGGAGGGAGGGATGCGCAGGGAGGGGGGGATGCACAGGGAGGGGACGAAAATCAGGGGGGGGGGAGGGGATTCACAAAGAAGTGGTGGAAACGAAAGGAGCGGATTGAAGACCCAGGGAGCATGGGATCAGAGGTGAACAAATTCTCAGGGAATTTGGCAAATACGCAGGCGGCAAGGGGGTGGAGGAGGGAAGTGAGGGGGGGAGAGGGGGGGGGAGGGGGCAAGAAACCACAGGGAGGAAACCATGAAAACATCAAAGTTGAAGAGCACACAAACGAACACGGTGTCTGAGAAAATCACCATGAGAGTCGGCGGTTGGTGGTTGTTGCTGGTGGTACATGTGGTGTGGTTGTTGCTGCTGCTGCTGCTGCTGCTGAGACAATCCCTGATACGCTTGCTGCTTCCGCTGCGGTCCCTGCTGCCTCTGCCCTTGCTGCTGCTGCTGCTGCTGCTGCTGCTGCTGCTGCTGCTGCTGCTGCTGCTGCTGCTGCTGCAGTTGCGGTTGCGGCTGTTGCTGTTGTTGCTGCTGCAATTGCGGTTGCAATTGCTGTTGCTGCTGCTGCTGCTGCCCCCCGTGCTGGACCCCATGCTGCTGCCATTGCTGCTGTCTCTGACCCTGTTGCCCTTCCTGCAGCGTCGCCTGCTGCTCAACTAACATCTGCTGCTCCGCCTGCAGCTGCTCCACATACCCCTGTTTGTTCCCACCTGGACCACCCAAACCAGCACGCTGACCCATTCCTCTGCCTGTCCCTACCCCCACACCAACCCCCACACCTTCCTGCACTCCACTTCCCTCTCTCCCTCCTCTCACCGCTGCTTGACCAGCGCCCATAGACGCCCCCAACGCAGCACCCGCACTGGCAGCCGCACCATCAGCAGCAGCCACGCTTGCACCCAGACCCGTCACCAACCCTGCTGCTGGCATGCTGTCCGAACCAGTGGCCCAGGTTTGGGATCTCGAAGCTTCAGAAGGAGGTGGTAGCCCTGGTGTGGGAATCATACCAGGGCCTGATGCATCGGCTAAGGTCGAAGCAGACGCAGAGGCGGGGTTAGAAGTCAGACGGTTGTTGGGCCCGGAGGGAGACTGAAGTGTTGGTTGTTGTTGTTGTTGGTTGGGTAGCCGGCGCTGGAAGTGTCCTCCTTGCTGCACTGGCTGCTGCTGCAACTGTTGCAATTGTTGTTGCTGTTGCTGTTGCTGCTGCAGAAGTTGCTGCACTGGCCGATTCTGCGTAAATTGTTGCTGCTGTTGCATAGAATGTTGCTGTTGTTGTTGATGCTGCTGTTGATGTTGTTGCTGTTGTTGCTGCTGTTGCTGCGGTTGCTGCGGTTGATGCTGCTGATGTTGCTGCTGCTGAGGCAGCGGCTGCAGCGCGGAAAGAGGCTGTGATTGTGGTTGAGTGATGAATCCGGGTTGCCCAACTCCTGATTTCATGTGAGTAAAGAGGACAACAAAGCAAGAGTGAGTGAACGCAAGAGAAAAAGGTAGAGAAGGCAACGGGGGTGGGAGAGAACGGCAGAGCAAATGCGAGTACATAAATATGACGAAAATGCAGAAGTTACGGATGCGTACCACTTGACATCTGCTGATGCTGAAGTGGTTGTCCTGCTTGCTGCTGCACTTGTTGCTGCTGTTGCTGTTGTTGCAGCTGACGTTGTTGCGGTTGTTGCTGATGTTGCTGCTGCTGCTGCTGCTGCTGCTGTGGTTGTTGTTGTTGCTGCGGCTGCTGCTGCTGTTGCTGCTGCTGCTGCTGCTGCTGCTGCTGCTGCTGCTGCTGCTGCTGCTGCTGCTGCTGCTGCTGCTGCTGCTGCTGTTGTTGTTGTTGCTGCTGCTGCTGTTGTTGCTGCTGCTGTTGTTGCTGCTGCTGCTGTTGTTGCTGCTGCTGCTGTTGCTGTTGCGTTCTGGTAGACAGGAGCCTAGCAGCAAGCTGCAGTCGTCGCTCCAGGGTGCTGAAATCGCCATACTCCTCCTGCAACACAACAACAACAACCAGCTCACCAGGCCACAGCACACAGCACCGCACAGCACAGCACAGTACAGAAAATCACAGCACAGCCACGAGAAACAAACAGCCATAACACGCAAAAAAGCGAAACCAACCGGAAGAAGAACAAAAGGCGTGACGAAACTGCCTTCACTCTACAGACAAATGGACGGACGCAGGAAAGCAGCGACGGTAGCAATCGGAGCAGCTAGCGAGTGAGGGGCCTCGAGGCCTCACCCTCGAATTCGCCGTTCGGTAAAGCACTTCCTCCAGCTTGCGGACGAAATCCGTCAGCTTCTCCCGGTTGTACTGCGACGTCGCTTGCGGGTTCCTCGTCTGGAATAGCTGCATGCTGCAGACGGTAAATGGGACAGGAGACGAAGTGAACCGGGAGGTAAAAATCGGAATCGAGCAATGCAAACGATTTTTTACCACGACACGAAAACGTCACGTGTCGGTTCGAGACGGAGAGAGAGCGCGACGCTTACGTCCTCGCGAAGACGCTGTGTCGCAACTGCGTGTCCTGGTCTGGTTTCCGCCATTGTGTTGCCGGGTTTCCCGCCGACCGCTGCATGGGAGCAGCGGTCTGCGCCTGCATTTTCCCGGCGCCTAAGCAGCCGGATACCGTACCCTAACAAACCTTAGCGCTCTCCAAGCCCTATGAAACGAAAATAGGATCTTAAAACACACCACAGGCAAAGTATAAGCTTTCCGTAAACAAGCGGGTTACATGGCCTCCTACGACAAACGTTTTTTTCCTTGTTAGTATCAAAGTAGTAGTTTTACGTAGTCTGAAACGGCCTAAATGTAACGATCCTAAGGCCAGGAGCCTTCAATATTGCTTTCCATTTTTCTATTTTTCACGGCGGAGCAGCCATGGCTGCTGATAGCATCAAGCCGAGCAACAAGGTGTTTCTGGCAGTGGTAGGCGAAGTGAGCTGCTCCGCAGAACGCTGGGGTGGGGAGCGGTGAGAGGCGTGGAGCTCCCGAGAAACAGATCCACCCAACCAGTTGTCGCCGTTCTACGAAGTGGTTACAGCGGCTAACGATGCCTTGGTCACGAACACCCTTGTGCTGGTTTGTCGAATGTTACCAGTACTTTTGCTGTTCCAAAAAGCTAACAGATCATGTAGTCACAGGTCTATGTGAAATATGGGAGGACTTGTGTAGCTACAATTTCAAAACTTTTTGACTCATGGTTGTGCGTCTATCCAGTTGAACATGTTTTTTTCATTTAGAATAATCATATTTAAGTTTATTAATGTAATTAAATATAATTTACTGAATGAATTCTAAGGTTTTTCACATACATCGCATTTGATTTATTATCTAAAGTTTGTTTGCTGATTGGAATCATTATGCTATATGCGTTCATATTCTCTTCAATTCTCCCATATAAGAAATATAGTTCCAGTACTTCGCGCCTCGATGTCGCCGCCAATTCTCGTCGGGGTTGTCAGAGGTGCCGTCTCTGACACCAGCCTTCCCTCCCTCAGCCGACAATCCCTTCGCATTTCAAGCACAACTTGATCCTTCCCAGCCATCACCTTCTTTCAGACACGGCTCGATTTCTTCCTCTTACTGGACTCTCCCAGCTGAGTCCCAGTGTCGGCGTAACTGTCAATAGTCCGCTTGTAGCTGATAGAGATTAATCCGCCTGGAGCGACGCCAGAACTCAGATTTCCTGTAGAAAACGACCTATCAACTCTTATTTCTTAGATATGAAAGAGCTCGAAGTCGCGAATCGTCTACATATTTCGGATGCAGATTGCGGTCCAACGACAGAGAATATATAGCAGTTTTATTACGTAACCCTGAGACGGATGAGAGGTTAACGACCTTAGTACGCGGTTGTAAGACGCAGCATGGATGAACAACCTTAGAACGCGCCGGTTTTAAGTCGCACGACCGATCAACGACCTTGGTACACGGTTCTAAGTTGCAGCATCGAATAGCGGTCTCCAGAATCCGTTTTCAGGACGTGCGATAAAGTCGGAATCATCAGGGTACGGTCCTAAACCACCTTAGCGATCTTAACTGGGGACTCAGCTGGTCACTTCCAGGACCTTTTCTTGGCGGTTGTCGGCTTTCGCTGCCGTTTGCCGAGTTTGTCTGTCCTTCGCCGAGTGTCGCTGCAGTTAGTCGAGTTCGCTGCCGCCGATTTTCGTTGCCGTTCGCCAGCTTCGTTCCTGACGTTCGCCGTATTTCGCTGCCATTCGCCAGCTTCCGCTACCGTTTGCCGACCATCGGTGCCGTACGCCGAGTGTCGCTGCCTTTCGCAGAGCTGCTGCCGTTCGCCGAGTATCGCTTCATTTCGCAGTGCTGCTACCGTTCACCGCGTCTTCGCGGATTGCAACCCGTTCGCCGACTTTCGCTGATGTGTGCGGCGTTTCTCTACCTATCTCTACGTTGCGCTGGGATCGCCGAGTTTCGCTGTCGTTCGTGAGCTTTGCTTCGAGGAAAAACGCGACGGACATAGACGCACGGCGGAACGCAGAGCATTGCAGCAGAGGGATCGACCTGAAGCAGCTGTCATGTGTGAGACCTACCCCAGCAGCAGTGGCTATACGCGGATTGGTAGGAAACTGGGTGGTATCGGCACACTGACGACAGCGGAGCGGCTTTGTCAAGGTGCGTGTGCGTGGAACGCAAGTGGGGGGGCGCGTAGGACGTACGAGTTAGCCGCGTAGGTGTCTTGAGTCGTCTGTTCCTGCTATCAAGCGTCTTTCTTGTTTCCGTGCCGCTCTAACGCCTCTGTACCCCCTTCTGCCCTCTCCTACTGGTGTGCGCTCTGTGTGTGTGGAGGGAGGGAGAAGGGATGGAGCATTGGTGGTGCAGCAAACTGTCTCGGTCAACACGTAAGCCTGCAGGAGCAGTAGCAGCCGCGCCAGCAGAAGCGACAAGAGCAGAAGCAGGACAATCAGCAGCGGGGAAAGGAGGGAGCGGGGGAGGTACTGTGTTACTGTGCAGTAGGGAAAGTTCTTGATCGATTCCATTGGGGGGTCGAGCAGTCTAGGTCGCCGCGCGGCAAGTCTTAGAATCAATTCTTGTCTCTTCCGAGTCCATTTTCTCTTTTGCTTCTGACGCACTCTCCTCTGTGCTTGTTCCTGTGCTGTGTTCGCTGCTCTGGTTCCGGTGCCTCCTCCACTGAGGCCCACGCACGCCTCAACACTCCTGCTTGCCAACGGGTGATTTGCCCAGGGAGGGGCTCTGCGAGTGAGGATCCACCTTCTGAGCCGTCTCAGAACCAGGCTCTCCACAGCATCATGGTAAGTCGCTGGGCCGATTTCTCGTGGGGGTAGAGCAGTCTAGGTCGCCGTGCGGCAAGTCTCAGAATCAAGTTTTGCTTCTTCCGAGTCCGCTTTCTTTTCTGCTTCTCACCCTCGCTCCACTGTGCGTGTTGCTGTGACGTGTTGGCTGAGGCCCATGCACGAGGCAACAGTTCTGCTTGCCAACGGGTGGCTCGCCCAGGGAGGGGCTCTGCGAGGGAGGGAGAATCCGCCCTTTCTGACGACTTGGAATTTGAATCACCAAGGCAATACGGTAAGCCGTTGGGCGGGTCTATCGGGGGGTCAAAGCAGTCTAGGTAGCCGCACGGCAAGTCTTAGAAACAAAGTCCGTGGCTTCACAGTCCGTTTCCTCTGAAACTCTGACGCACTCTCCTCTGTGCTTGTTCCTGTGCTGTGTTGCTGTGGTTCCCGTGCCTCCTTGACTGAGGCCCATGGACGTCTCAACATGTGGTGCATCCCAGTCCTGCCTGCCAAGGCATGGTGGTGCATCCCGTCCCAAGGGAGGTGCTCTGCCAGCAACAGTCCCGCCTGCCAAAGGAGGTGCTCTGCCGGCAACAGTTCCGCCTGCCAAGGGAGGTGCTCTGCCAGCAACAGTCCCGCCTGCCAAGGGAGGTGCTCTGCCAGCAACAGTCCCGCCTGCCAAGGGAGGTGCTCTGCCAGCAACAGTCCCGCCTGCCAAGGGAGGTACTCTGCCAGCAACAGTCCCGCCTGCCAAAGGAGATGCTCTGCCAGCAACAGTCCCGCCTGCCAAGGGAGGTGCTCTGCCAGCAACAGTCCCGCCTGCCAAGGGAGGTGCTCTGCCAGCAACAGTCCCGCCTGCCAAGGGAGGTGCTCTGCCAGCAACAGTCCCGCCTGCCAAGGGAGGTGCTCTGCCAGCAACAGTCCCGCCCTCCAAAGGGTGCTTCAACCCAGAGCGGGGCTCTGCGAGTGAGGATCCGCCGAGCCGCCTCAGAATCTGGCTCACAACAATGGCTGTATGGTAAGTTGTAGGGCGGATCTATGGAGGGGGCAGAACAGTCTAGGTCGCCGCGCGCGCGGCAAGTCTTAGACCTGGATTTTATGTCTTCTCAGTCTGCTTCCGTTGCTTCTTCTCACACACTCTCCTGTGTGCTTGTTCTTCTGCTTCTGTCGTGTTCTCTTCTCTGGGTCCGTTCCTGCCGTGACCGAGGCGCATGGACACGACTACGGAATCGATGGGTGGAGGCAGAGGGGGGTCGGCAGGGGGGGAATACAGGCGCTGGAAAGCAACATACTGGTTCCCTGGAGTGCCCCAGTGTGGCCCCGGGGGGGGGGGGGGGGACAGCAGTGGCTCTCAGGGGGCATAGGATTGGGGGCATAGCAGATGCAGGCAGGCTCTTTCACACTCGCCACTTCCTGACCCCTCAGTGGGCGCGTGTCTCAGTGGAGGTCAACGGGAAGTGCAGGGACATGGGGTGGTATGTAGCTGCCATTGTGCTGACTGCACACGGATTCGAAGCACACTGACGGCAGCAGAGCGGCTTTGCAAAGGACGTAGGAGTCCCCCGCGTAGGTGTCAGTGTGCTACGAATCCATGCCGTTGAGGCAACCATCTTTTCTTGCAGAGAGGTTGGTCGGATTCTTTTAGAACTCTCAAAAAATCCTTTTCTTGCAGAGAGGTTGGTCTAACGCGGGTGTGTGTTGTTGCTTGACTGCCCCTGTTGTTGTGTGCTTGTTTGGTGCGCAGGAGGAGGAGGAGCAGCGTGGAGGAGACAAGCCGGATCAGGAAAACGACCTCCGAGCAGCAGCAGCAAAAGCCGCAGGAGCAGTAGCAGTAGGAGGAAAGGGAGGGGGCAGAAGAGGGGGAGGAGGAGACTGTGTCGCTGTGCAGCATGGTAAGTTGTCCACTGAATCTCTCTAGGGGGGTAAAGAAGTCTAGGTCGCCATGCGGCAAGTCTTCGAGTTTTTTTTCTTCCGGGTCCATAACAGCTGCTGCTGCTGACGCACTCTCTTCTGTGCTTGTTCCCGTGCTGTGTTGGCTGCTCTGGTTTGGGGAGTCTCCCTGACTGAGGCCCAGAGACGCGCTGAAGTTCATCCCAGGAAGGTGCAGTGCGAGTGAGGAGTGAGGATCCGCTTCTGAGGCGTCTCGGAATTCGTCTCAACATGGGAGAACGGTGAGAGGCTGGGCGGGTCTGTCAGGGGGGGGTAAAGCAGTCTAGGTCGCCGTGCGGCAAGTCTTAGAGTCGCGTTTTGCTTCTTCAGAGTCCGTTTTTGTTGCTGCTTCTGACGCTCGCTCCCATGTGCGTGTTGCTGTGATGTGATGTGTTGACTGAGACCCACGCGCAAGAGAACGAGCGTCTCCCCCAAGGGGTGTTGCGTGCCAGAGAGGGGCACTGTGAGCAAGGGAGGATCCGCTATTCTCTGACGTCTCGTTTTGAGACGTCTCTTTTTTTTTTTTTTTTCTTTTTTTTTTGAGACGTCTCAAAACGTGAGCAAGGGAGGATCCGCTCTTCTCTGACGTCTCGGGAGTTGAACCACCAGGCAACACGGTAAGTCGCCAAGCAGGTCTATTGGGGGAACAAAGCAGTCTAGGTCGCGTCGCCGTGCGGCAAGTCGTAGATCCGATTTGATGTTTTTTCACAGTTTGTTTCCGCTGCTGATTCTCACGCACGCTCCTGTGTGCATGTTATCGTGCTTCTGTTGTGTTCTCTGCCTTGGTTCGGTCCGTCCTTGACCGAGGCGCATGGACACGATTACGGGATCGATGGGTGGAGGCAGGGGGCGGATCAGCAGTGGGAATGCAGGCGCCACAATGCAGCATATTGGGTGCCTGGGATGCTTAGCGTGCCCTGGGGAGTGATGAGCAGACAGGCCCTTTCACACTCGCCACCTCCTGACTTCTCTGTAGGTGCGTGGTGGTCAAACGAAGACTGCAAGGGCACTGGGTGGTGTGCAGCTGCAGTTGTGGTGACCGCAGCATAGGTGTCTTGAGTTGCCTCTTCCACCTACCCAGTGTCTTGAGTTGCCTCTTCCACCTACCCAGTGTCTTGAGTTGCCTCTTCCACCTACCCAGTGTCTTGAGTTGCCTCTTCCACCTACCCAGTGTCTTGAGTTGCCTCTTCCACCTACCCAGTGTCTTGAGTTGCCTCTTCCACCTACCCAGTGTCTTGAGTTGCCTGTTCCACCTACCCAGTGTCTTGAGTTGCCTGTTCCACCTACCCAGTGTCTTGAGTTGCCTCTTCCACCTACCCAGTGTCTTGAGTTGCCTGTTCCACCTACCCAGTGTCTTGAGTTGCCTGTTCCACCTACCCAGTGTCTTGAGTTGCCTGTTCCACCTACCCAGTGTCTTGAGTTGCCTGTTCCACCTACCCAGTGTCTTGAGTTGCCTGTTCCACCTACCCAGTGTCTTGAGTTGCCTGTTCCACCTACCCAGTGTCTTGAGTTGCCTGTTCCACCTACCCAGTGTCTTGAGTTGCCTGTTCCACCTACCCAGTGTCTTGAGTTGCCTGTTCCACCTACCCAGTGTCTTGAGTTGCCTGTTCCACCTACCCAGTGTCTTTTCTTGCAGACGTGTCGGTCTAACGGATGTCTGTGTTCTTGCCTGACTGCCTCTGTTGTCGTGCGCGTGCAGTGGGGAGGAGGAGGAGCAGCGTGGAGGAGACAGGCAGGGTCAGGCAAACGACCTCTGAGCAGCAGCAGCAGCAAAATCCGTATTAGCAGAAGCAGTAGGAGGAAAGGGAGTGGGGAGAAGAGGGGGAGGAGGGACTGTGTCACTGTGCAGTATGGTAAGTTTCTCGCCGGTTTTATTGGGGGGGTAAAGAAGTCTAGGTCGCCGTGCGCAAGTCTTAGAATCAAGTCTTGTTTCTTCCGAGTCCGTTTCCTCTGCTGCTGCTGCTGACGCACTCTCTTGTGTGCGTGTTCCTGTGCTGTGTTGGCTGCGATTCCAGTAACGACCCGACTGCTCCGGTGTCTCAGAATCTGCCTCATGGACGCCCCAACACTCGTGCTTGCCAAGGGTGGTGCCATCCGCCTTCTGAGCCGTCTCAGGAACAGGCTCATGATGGCAGTATTGTTGGTCTGCTCCATTGGGGGGGCAGAGCAGTGTAGGTCGCATTGCAGTATCAATCTATTCGTCCATGTTCTACTCATATCAGCCGTTTCTCATATCAGCCGTTTCTCATATCAGCCGTTTCTCATATCAGCCGTTTCTCATATCAGCCGTTTCTCATATCAGCCGACGAACAGTCAGTATCAGTTGCTGAAGCATCTGAGAGCATGCCGCTCCCAGCGTAATCCCCTTGGCTGCCCGTTTCTCCCCTTCTCCCCCACATCACGCAACAGGCGTGGTTGTAGCAGCAGCAGCATCGTGCATGCTGCAGTACTAGATGACCGGAGGGCAGGAGGGGAGGAGTGAAGGAGGGAATGAGGGAAGGATGGAAGGGGAAATGAGGGGAGGAGTGAAGGAGGGAATGAGGGGAGGATGGAAGGGGAAATGAGGGGAGGATGGAAGGGGAAATGAGGGGAGGATGGGAGGGGAAATGAGGGGAGGATGGAAGGGGAAATGAGGGGAGGATGGAAGGGGAAATGAGGGGAGGATGGAAGGATTGTTTGGAAACGAGCAGGGTGAGTTCTGCACCCATCAACCCATGCTTGCCATGCTGTGCTGCCGATTCAGTCCTTCTGCCTTCTCGCCTTCAAGTTCTGCTCTCAGTCTCACAAGCCACACTCCAGATCAGGTTACTCCTGCTTTGCAGGCCACTCCTTATGTTTTCTGTTTACTGCTCACCCTTTCTTTTCAGGTCACTTGCTCTTTCCATGCTACTCCCTCCTACACCCACTAATGTGTGGATTTGTCACTTCAGTTGCAAGTGCAGTGCCAGGAGGGAGGAGGCAAGGAGGCAATGAGGGATGATGGAAAGGTCGACCAGCGAAGGATACAAGGGAGGATGTTTCATGGAAACGAACGGGGTGAGTATGGTTGCTGCACCCACCCACCCGTGCGTGCCATGCTGTGTTGTCAACTGTGTCCTTGTGCCTTCCCACCTGCTTCTCCCTTCCATACTCCTCTCTGCTCGTTGATGCCAAGTTCCTTCTTCTTACCTTCACCTTGTTTCCGCTTGTTTCTCCCTCATGCCACTTGTGATTTCCCCAGCTAGAGTATCCCTCCCCCCTATGGCATTACGCCCTCTAACGTCCCCTCCTCTTGGCATCGCCTTCTGTCCTTTGCAGGATAACGGAAGGCAGCAGGAACAGCAACAGGAGTAGCAGTACCAGTGATGTTTGGATAGCCGGCATAGTAGCCACAGTAGTACGCAGCTAGATGATTTGCTAGTGCATGAGCACGGTGGAAGGCGAGCGAGGGAAGGTACAGGTCTTATCGATAACCAAGGTAAGAGGACAGTGAGGCCTGGTAAGGTATTGTACGGTACTGTGTGGTATAAAGATGCTGAGATATGGTAGGTAGGGTATGGAAAGGTACACACACACACACACACCGACCGGGACAAAGGAATCACCCAGCAAGGGAAGCAGGCATGAGGCAAGTTAGATGCCGGTAGATATACCCTAGCAAGGAGACAGACACACACAAACAGCCAGAAAGAGTCCCACCCATCCATGTGCACCACAAATGAGACACATCCAGAAAAACAGTGGTACGGTTGTAGCAAAGTTGCAGACCAGATCATCCCTATGACTGCTACTGGTGTAGATGCAAGGTATAGCCTTTTGCAGCCCAGCACCTTCCTCCAAGGCTAACTGGGCAATGGGCATACCGCATGACAACTGGATGGCTAACACCCACACTGGATTCAAGTTGCAGGCTGTGCAATTTGTTTATAACAAATGCTCGGTTATCTCAGGCTCATGAGTGCCAGAACAACTCCAACAGTACAGGTTTGCCGTGTGGTGTGGTCTACAGTACAGTCCACATGCCGCCCAGCTGCAGGACTTCAGGTGCTATGTGGTCGTGCATGCGCACAGTAGGTGCATGTGCACGTGCATGTGTATGCAGGCATGCTTCCCCTCTGGTACCTACCACCTCTCCTAGTACCGTACCCCCCGTCCTACTTCCAGCAGAAATCAACCAGCAGTAAGTACAGCTATGAGATGCAATGTTACCACACCAAATAACGACAGCAGCCGTTGACATAAACAAGGTGACTCCTTGAACCCGTACTTTCTCAATGCTGTGATCAACCCTCAGGATTCCTTGATGAGGTTGATGGGATCGCTGAGAACATAATGAGGTAGCTCATACTTGGCTCCTGCAGTAGGAAAGCAGCGCACAGAGGACTGAGGTGAGGTGATCAGAAGGCAGACGAGCATCATCAGACTGCAGAGGACATGAGCCTGCCAGCATGCTCACATCTCCTAGTCTCCCACTCACTCACACAATGAGTCGCCCCCACCATGACGCACCTCTCTCATCGTAGCAGACAGACATGTCAGGTACGTCGACCACCACCCCTGCTGACTCAAGTATCACTTGCGCCATGTCTCGGTCTCCCTCTGTTGCCGCCTTCAACGCATCCCATATCTCTGCCAATTGCAGGCAAAGGGTGGTCAAAGGGAGGTGGAAGAAACGGGTTGGGGAGAAAGGGATGGAATGATGATGGAGACGGGAGTGATGTGTACAAAAAAAAAAAGAGGAATGGAGAGGGAGGGAGAGGGGTCAAACAATAGAAAGGAGATGGGAGACAGACCTCGTTGGCCGCCGTAGTGCGGCGCAGTGTCCCAGAACTCCTCCCTCATGCGTGTCAGCTCCGCCTGCAACAGTGGCGTTGGGTGCTTCCACGCCTTGGGCTTCACCACCTTCTTGCCTGCACACACGCGCATGGAGAAGCAGCCAGGAGGGAGTGTGACGCCGTGGGTTCACAGAACTGAAGGCGCAAATCGTACACTAGTAATTTGCAAAATCTCCACAAGGAACTGACAGTGGCTCGTTCTGACGCGCTTCGCCCCCCTCTCTCATGGCGCAGCCCGGAACGCACCGTACGGCACAGGGAGGGCAGGGCACGGGAAGGGGAACGAGCAAGGGGGGGAAAGGGGTAGGGGAGAATCCAGTGGGGGAAGGGGAAGCAGAGATGGCATTCCAGAACGCATTCCTACCTTTCGGGGACTCTTCCTTCGCAGTCGACCCCACGCAGCCCATGGGAATGCCGGATACTATAAGCGCTCGTCGAAGGTTCAGCAGGAGCCGTGCTCAATGCCTATTATAGTCTTCTTAGAAACACAGCGGTGTCCCGAGTTGCAGAAACGCAGACACGGCGCTACAACCGGTTCACTACCACGAGCGCTACAACCGGTTCACTACCACGAGCGCTACAACCGGTTCACTACCACCAGCGCTACAACCGGTTCACTACCACCAGCGCTACAACCAGTTCACTACCACCAGCGCTACAACCGGTTCACTACCGCCAGCTTTACTCCCCCAGTTGAGCTACAACCGCCAGGAACGTCCAGGAAGGCTATCGGAGACAGCGGCGCGCGATGGAGAGAGAACGTTTTCAAGTTAGCGGCGGGTTACCACCTTCTCTGTCGGCAGCGGAAAGGCCGGGTCGAAGTCATGGCGCCTCGCACCGCCTTTTTCATGGCAATCTTATGACGACGCTAATCCGTTCCTGGTAAGAGGACCTACTGGGTTGTCGTCTCGAGAGATTGCTCGAAGGGAGAACGACGAAGCTGTACACTAAAATCAACAATTGCTGAATAATGTTAATGACTTAACTCTACCTACTCCACCTCTTGCTAGGAGCTCCATCTTTCGCGGCTCACTCTTCTCTAGTTGCTCGTCGCGCCAAGCGCTCAGCACTAGCTGCTCGTCGTTCGTCTCGCCTGTTGCTCGTCGCTGAGCGTTCGTCGTTGCTCTAGGATAGTCTCTGTCTTTGGTTGTCGCTCGTAGGTCGCTCGTCGAAGCTCGTCAGTCGTCAGTCGTCAGTGATCACTGAATATATCTCACGGATACTAAGGACGCGTCACAATTGCAACACCGGATGAGGATCGGGATCATACACCGAAATCGTGAGCATCGATCGCCATAGCCAGATTTCAACCTGTGTGGACACGTTCGCCCTGGAGGTTCCAATCTTGGCGGATTTCTTAACGTTTCTGAGCTTTGTAAACTCTTGAAGAGGGATTTCAGTGCGGTGTCAGCTCAATTTCGGACAATCTTATTGTGACTCGAGTTTACGCAACTTCGCGAAGCGACTGTAGACTTACATACATCGATCCCTTGCAGGTTCGATGTTTCAATTGTAACGCGTCCTAAACCTGGTCAGGGTCTTCTGATGACTAAGGATGTGCCCCAACACTTTCTTGCTTCGTCTGCCTTCGCTAATCTGAAAATGCCCCCAACGAACAACACCTTCGGCGACATGTTACTTTCCGGCATGTGATTCGCCCCCGCGCTCGAATCCTACCATCTTTTCATGCGAGGCAGAGCGACACGTGGTAACAAATTTGCCTAACCAACCAAGTCTTCGTCTGAATGAACCAAGCCAGGGATGCTGCACCTTCCAACCTACCAACCTACAATAGCCGACGGAACGAGAGTCTTGAGCGTCTTAAAAACGATTCCTTAGAACCATACCTCAACGTTGAAAAACGTTTTTGAAAACTCTAGAAACACATTGAATCGCATTCAACTTCTGTTTAGGTTCAGGATGACACGCCCTGAGCGACACTGGGTTGGGTTGTGAGTCCCTGATAAGTTATCAGCGTGGACTAGTCGAGTGGCTAGAGAGGGTGGAGGGGGAGGGTCATTTGAATTAGGCTCGGCCAGTACTCGCCTAAGCATATCCCAAGGTTTCTGCGCGCGCTCCGAATACCCAGGTGCATGCTGCTATCGTAACATTCGACGCTGACGACTCCGACGCTCTGAAGTAACCGTTATAAGGAACCGAAAATGGAAGGTGACCTGACAATGTGAGCGATCACCTTTGACCTGATAGAGGCACTCCACCTAGATGCTGTTCGTGTCTTCGTGACCCAGAATTGAAGGACGACATGAGTCGTTTCGTTTCGTTCCTCCTCGTCAAGGACAGCTGTCAGCTGTAGTGCAGTCATGATTGACCAGGTTACCACGTCGAAGAAGTTTCGCTAACCGCGGAAGCGATGTCGTCGCGAACGAGAGCTGGGAGCCGTCGATCCCAGTACTCTCCGTCGTCCAGATCAGCGGCTGCGAACGCATTCAGCACACGTGGCGGCAGCAGCGGAACCGGCGGCGGCGGCGCAGCCGGCCTCCTAGATGGCATCGCGCGGGAGCGACCCCACGTGGTGATCGCGTCGTGTGCGGTCTTCGTCCTAATCGCCACTAGGTTCTTTTGGTTCCCCGCGCCTTATCTCGCCAGCAGACTAGTCGAGCCTGCCGGTTGCGACTTCGCAGTTTACCTTAACGCCAGAGGAGTGTTAGAAGGCCCTTGGCTGAACGATACCGCTGACTCTACCGATGCAGCCGTTGCCGCCGCTGCCGCCGCCGCCGGGCTCGATTTCACCTCAGGCTTGGGCGCAGGCACGGGGGTGCTGCTCGGGGACACCGGGCCTAACAGGCTCGGCGGAGGCGCAGGTTCGGGAGGAAGCGGAGGCGGGGTAGGTACCAGCGCCGGGCAGAATGCGGGGCCGATGTTTTTTTCGGGCAGGAGGTTGCAAGCGATGGGGAAGATGGTGGCGGCTCGGGAGGGGGAGGACGACGGGAAGGTGCCGTGGGCCGTGGTGGTGGAGGGGTTGCTTACCACGGGCGCCTTCAGCACCAGTGACCCCGTGACACTTGCCTTCGCGCGATTGGCCGAGCGGTTCCTGGCTCCCTGGGCGAGAATAGAGGTGTGGCTGGGTCGGACGACAGGGGGAAGGAGGGGGGGAAGGAAAGGGGGGCAAGAGGGGCTTGAACGTGGGTTGTGGAAAAGAGTGGAGGAGGGTGTTGTTCTGAAGATGTGGGGTTATGGGTGTGTCTGGGATATGTTTTGGGAGGGTCCGAGGGGCTGGAGTGAGGGAGAAAGCAGAGGTCGAAGGTGTGTGTAGCGAAGGGAACAACTGGGAGCGAAGGGATAAGGTGTGGCGGGGTGGTTGGGGATAGTTCGGGAATGAGGCGGGCCGGGGGAGGGAGAAGGGGGAAAAAGGGGGTGATTGAAGGTTAAGGCGGAGGGGCTACTCGATTGGTATGGATGAGTGTGACTGCGATTCACGAGATGGTTTTTCTGTATCCGACTTGCATCGTGATTGGTTTTTTGTTTGGATGCATGAGAAATGCATGTTTGAATGCGTCCTTGCATGTATCAATGGGTGCATGTGTGCATGGGTGCATGTGTGCATGGGTGCATGTGTGCATGGGTGCCTGTGTGCATGGGTGCCTGTGTGCATGGGTGCATGGGTGCATGGCTTGTGTGCCATCCCCTGCATGACTCACAGGGTATCACAGATGGGCTTGGGAAGACAGGCCTCATCAAGGCGGCAGCACTCAAGGCCATCGCCACCAACCCCAAGGTGGGCTAAATTTACAAGTTAGCCTGCACCGTGTGACTCTTGAGTCGACTCAATAGTCTCAAGGCCGCACCCTCCGCTCGCCTCCCCTTCCCTCCATCTCCCTCCCTTCCCCCACCCATCCCCGCCCCCAGCTCATGAGCCGTGTGGCGCAGGTGCGAGTAGTGGACGGGCGGGTTGTCAGAGTCGATTGAAAAGTCCTGCTCCTCCTCCGTCTCCTTGTAATTCCCACTCCTCCTCCCCTCCCCGCCCCCAGCTCATGACCTGTGTGGCACAGGTGCGAGTTGTGGACGGGCGTGTGTTCTTCCGCTATGGCTCCTTCCTGGAAGACGAGAGGAAGCTTCTCAGAATCAACCTGGCAGTGAAGATGATTCACGAAGCCGTGGTCACGTTTGAGCTTCAGAGTGAGTCCTTGTTTTTCGTATATTGTCTGATAATTGTCTTGATAATGAGTAACGGTTGAGCTTCATCTATGTCTCTTGAAGAGAAGCTTGAGTTTTGAGATTGCATTTTTGTGAGTCACACCACCCACACAGCTATGTCCGTCATGTCTGTCATCCTCTTGCTCACCTTTTCTTACCCTTCCGAACACCCCACCTTCCATCCTTTCCTCCCCAATTTTAACCAGCCCTGCGAGCAGAGCTGTACCTAAACGCGTGTGACGACCCACACAGCTACGACAACTCGCTCTCATCGGGCCGTTCGGGCTTTGCAGTGCTGAGTGCGCAGTGGACCCCCGGCGTGACGGACATTCTATTTCCCGACCCCCTCGACCTTGCGTACCAGCCCTCTTACTCGCCCCACGCGGGGCGACTAGGAGAGGCGCAGCAGGAGAGGCAGGGGCTGGAGCCACTGCCAGTGTGGGAGCGGGTGAGTGCGCGTGGGTGATTGGGAGTCGAGTGGTGTGTCGTGATTGCTGGCGCTTGGAGTTGCAGTGCTGAGTGCGCAGTGGACGCCCGGGGTGACAGACATTCTCTTCCCCGACCCACTCGACCTCGCCTACCAGCCCTCCTACTCGCCTAGACCCCACGGGCAGCACGGGTTTGGTGGGGCGGAGAAGCGGCAGGAGAGGCAGGGGCTGGAGCCTTTGCCAGTATGGGAGCGGGTGAGTGCGTGTGGGTGTCTTGAGAATGCTTAATCCATGGCCAGAATGGTTATGAGCAGCAGGGGCAAGAGGTTGCTGGGCGGGCAAGAGGCTGCTGGGCGGGCAAGAGGCTGCTGGGCGTGCTGCTGCTGTGCGCGCTGCAGCGCATGGCACACGCCCCTCATCCTCAGCCCCCCTTTGCGGTCTACCCGCTTGCCGTATTTCCCCCTCCCCCCCATCACCAGAGGCAGAGCAGGGCGGAGTGGAGGGGCAGGGCGCTGGAGCTGGTACTCAAGGAGGCCAACTGGGCGAGCAGCCTGAGAGTGCGCCTGCACCGCATGTCCGATGCCCGCCCCGACCTGCTGGACGCTCGCCTCACCATGTGGGGTGACAAGGATGGCGTTGACGCCAAGAAGCTGCTGCTCAGGTGGGGGGTGTTTGGTGGAGGGGATTTTCAGGAGATGGGGGAGGTTCCTAATGGGAAAGACATTTTCCTTGATGACTCGCATCAGTTTGTGGTATTCTTACTTCGTCTCTTGCTCGTTTCCCTTCTCCCTCCCTAGGCACGGTGTGGTGCTGGCAGAGGAGGTGGATGATGTGGCAGAGAGGAGGAGGGGGTGCAAGTACGTGTTGGTGGTGGACGAGCAGATCGGCACGCGTGACATGTGTCGCGCTCTCAGTGGCCCACAGGCCGTCATCCGCCACGCGTCAGGCTACACGGAGTTCTTTGACCCGCTGCTGCTGCCAGGCGTGCATTACGCACCCGTGGGGCACAGGTGCGTGGGGTTAATATTGTTCATGCATGGTTCACATGGTGTCTGTATGGAGCTCCATTGCTGTCAGGCTACACGGAGTTCTTTGACCCGCTGCTGCTGCCAGGCGTGCACTATGCACCCGTGGGGCACAGGTGACGGGGCTGCTGTAATGAATCAATGGTATGCAGTGCACATTCAGATCGCACGTTGGAGTGCTGCTGCTTCTGCTGCACCTGGTGACACAGTTGAGATGTGACCGCTGCTAGCAACAAACAGTTTTCGCCCTTAACCCCCCTTCCTTCCATGGAAAATAACCCCAAGAGCCCTGTTCCCTCTCCTCCGTCCCAACTCCCTCTCTTTCCCCCCTGTTTGGCCAGTTTCCGGGGCCTATTCAGTGTGATAGAGAATTTAGAGCCTGAATCTATGAATTTGGCTGAGAGTGGATGTGGGTGCAGCGCAACGACCCTGCCGTGCGCACCATGGTGCGCACCGCTAATGCCTCACAGCACATGGAATACCCTCTGCAACCCGTCCCCCTCTTCTCTCCAACCCCCCCACACCCACAACCACCCCCCTTCCCTCCCCTCCCCCCCAGTTTCCGGGACCTATTCAGTGTGATAGAGTGGATGCAGCGCAACGATGCTGCCGTCCGCACCATGGTGTGCAACGCCAATGAGCTCGCAGCACATAGCATACTTCCCTAACCCTTCCCCTCTTCTCTCCAACCCCCCCACGCCCACGACCACGGTACCACCCTCTGCCCCTTCCCCACCTTGGCAGTTTCCGGGATCTATTCAGTGTGATAGAGTGGATGCAGCGTAACGACGCTGCCGTCCGTACAATGGTGCGCAACGCGAATGAGCTCGCAGCACTCGTCTGCACATGGCACTCACGCGTGCACTTCTGGGCTGTCCTCCTCGCCAAATATGCCTCCCGCGCCCTTGAAAACCCGGCAGCTGTGGTCGCTCCCACACCGTGCCGCGGCGGCCGCGCGAGGATTAGTTCCCAGTGGGCGAATTCGACTGTTTCTGGGGCTTGTAAAGTGGAACGGAGTGTAGATGAAGCGGGGGCGTCGTCGTGGAGTGAGTTGGCGAAGGCTGCTGGGGAGAGAGGGGCTAGTGCGTTGTTGGAGGTTTTGGGTATTGATGGGAGTGTGATGGAAGAAATGGGAGATGATAATATGGATAGGTGTAGTGACTTTTGTGTAAGTGGGGTGCCTGAGGATCAATGGGTTTGGCTGGATGCGGAGGAGAGCTTGAAGGACGTCTACCCGCATGATCCCATTGGCCGGTCTTTGCATCTTTATAATCGATAATTCCATGTCATGGTGCCCGAAGGGCCTCTATTTAGTGAGCGTCTCCGCAGCTTTATTAAATTGCACAGGAGTACCGTAAGCCCCCAGATATAAGTGCAGGCCTCGGATTGTTGGTCTGAGAAAAGCCCTTAGGAACTTTTCAGGACTAAAATCGGGTGTTCATGTAGTGTTCATGTTCATGTAGCGGAAGCTTTTAATGAAGAGTTTGACGTGAACCACCTTGTACTGGTTTGTGAGAACAAGATAAGTTAATAATAACAAAGAGATACAAGCTTTTATTATATGATTACAAGGAATATGAAAGGTTCTATTTTAACTGTTTTGCTGTTGCGGTTCGATACAGTGCCGACTCGGGTAACTGCTCTGTAACGAGTCAGTTATATGTCCTTGCTGTCGCACTGTGCATTTCGTCAGGTCAAAGGTCGGGGACCTTTGACCTTCGCGTAACCTCCGACAGTTGACTCGCGTGCTTCTTCGCTGTAGTCAGTTCTGTTTTGTGTCTCAGCTTCGATACGACAGAGGCGCTATAAATCACTTGTTTCCAACACTCCCCTTCGCTTCTGGAGTGTCCCTGCTGATGACGTATCCTTGTCCAGTCAGCAGCATGCAATATTCGAACTTCGACTTTCCGAGCTTCTTGGTCAAGTAATCAGCTGCCATCTCGGATGTAGGACAGTAAGACAGCTCAAGTCTCCCCTTCTCGATCTCGTCCTTTACGAAGAAATATCGCAGGGCGATATGTTTCGTCCTATTCGCGAATCCATTTTTGTTGGCGATGCGAATTGCCGACTGGTTGTCGCAGAACAAGGAGAAGCTGTGTAACTGAGCCAGCTTTGCCTCCTCCAGAAGTTCGCGAAGGTATAGTCCTTCCTCGGTGGCTGAGCAGAGTGCAATGTATTCAGCTTCAGCTGAGGAGAGAGCGATTAGTTCCTGCTTGCTCGATTGCCAGGAAATAGGTCCGATAGGTTCAAGGCGATAGACGTAGCCGGTGCGTGAGCGTCTGTTGTCGGGATCGCCGGCGTGATCTGCGTCGACGTAACCGATTAATTTAGGTACCGTAGTTCCGTTCTTGTGGTAAGTTAGACCGACGGTTGCGGTGCTGACGAGATAGTGGAGAGCACGGTCGAGTTCGACCATGTGTTCTCCTTCAGGTCTCTTGAGATAAGTTGCAAGTTGGCTCGCGGAGTACGATAGGTCTGGGCGACAAGTAACAGCCGCAAAGAGAAGGCATCCCAGCTTCCTTTGGTAGTTGCGTATGTCGGCGGATTTTAGTGGAGCGGATCCGTCCTTGTTGTTTCCTGCCGTGTAGCGGTAAGGCGTAGAGATGGTAGTCGGCGTAAGTGAGAAGCGTTTGGCGATGGTGTCAGCATACTTTGCAGCGTTGAGGTAGATCGCATTTTCTTCTTCCTGAATGTTTAGGCCGAGATATTGCGTGACGGTAGATGATACTGTGAGCGTGAGGTCTTTCTGTAGCTCCCCTTCGAACCAGGTAGTGACGTTGTCGGTCGACCCGATGTAGAGTAGATCATCTACGTAAACGATTAGTAGGATATAGTCGTCACCTTTCGTGAGCCGATACTGTCATATATATATGCCTTAGCACATGTAGGCTGTAGTGGGGTAGACTCTAAGGGGTACAGGTTTCTTATTTGTACCAAACTCATTCATAGTTCATCCCCATTCCTGTTTTCTTTCTTCACATGGTATAGAGCGGGTTCCTACATGGGACCGTTCCTTCCTAAGGGCCCACCATAACGATTTTTTTTTTTTTAGCTGCCCGACGCGCGTTGCGCCCCTGCCCTAAAGTTTTTTTTTTTTTTAGCGGCCCCCCTAGCGGCCCCTACGCGACCCCTACGCGGCCCCTACGCGGCCCCTACGCGGCCCCTACCCGGCCCCTACGTCGCCCCTGACGCGGCCCCTACGCGGCCCCTGACGCGGCCCCTACGCGGCCCCTGACGCGGCCCCTGACGCGGCCCCTGACGCGGCCCCTGACGCGGCCCCTGACGCTGCCCCTGACGCGGCCCCTGACGCGGCCCCTGACGCGGCCCCTCCGCCGCCACTACCGCGGCCCCTACGCCGCCCCTGACGCGGCCCCTGACGCGGCCCCTGACGCGGCCCCTGACGCGGCCCCTGACGCGGCCCCTAACGCGGCCCCTGACGCGGCCCCTGACGAGGCCCCTAACGCGGCCCCTGACGCGGCCCCTACACCGCCCCTGACGCGGCCCCTGACGCGGCCCCTGACGCGGCCCCTACGCCGCCCCTGTTGCGACCCCTACGCCGCCCCTGTCGCGGCCCCTACGCCGCCCCTGACGCGGCCCTCTACTGCACCTGACGCGGCCCCTACGCCGTCCCTTCACGGCCCGGCCCTGTCCCTGACGCGGCCCCTACGCGACCACGCGGCCCCGACCCCGTCCCGGACCTGCCCCGGCCCCGACCCTGTCCCGGCCCCGTTGCTGCTTTGTCCCGGACCTGCCCCGGCCCCGACCCTGTCTCGGCCCCGTTGCTGCCCCGTCCCGGACCCTGCTCGGCCCCGACCCTGTCCCGGCCCTGTTCCGGTCCCGACCCCGTCCCGAACTCTCGGCTCTGCCCCTGGTAAGAGCCTAGCCGGGCCGAGCCGCACTGCGCTGCCGAGTCGCCCTGCCGAGTCGCACTGTCTTGCCTAGCTCAGTTGCACTGCTGCCGCTGCTAGTCTCCTGCTGCTCCTATCATGGCTAGTCCTACCCTTCTCACCTTTGATGCTGAGGGTCGAGCGGTTGCCTTTGATGTTTGGCTAGATGACTTACAGCTTTTCCTTCAGTGCGATAGCAGAGATGGCCTCTCCCTGTTTAACCTTACGTCGGGCGCCTCTACTGCCCCTACTGCTGATGCTGACAGTACCGTTCGCTCGCAGTGGCTCACGCGCGATGCTGCTGCCCGCCTTGCTGTGCGCAGTCACCTACCGCCTACTGAGCGCGCGCACTTTAGTCAGTACAAGAGTGCTCAGACTCTGTACGACGCTGTAGTTGCACGCTACTCTTCCCCTGCCACTGCTGCGCTTAGCCGCCTCATGCTACCGTACCTTTTCCCTGACCTCGCTGCCTTTGCTACAGTCACTGACCTCATTACGCACCTCCGCACTAGTGACACTCGCTACCGCGCTGCGCTCCCTGCTGAGTTCTGTGCCCAGAACCCCCCCCCATGTACATCACCCTCTACTACCTAGTCACTCGACTCCCTGACACTCTCCGCTCGGTCAGGGACCACTTCCTCTCTCTTTGCCCTACCACCCTCACTGTCGACCTCCTCGAGGAGCGCCTCCTTGCAGCCGAGACTAGTATTACCGCTGTAGGCGCCTCTCGTGGTGACCCCCGTACCCCTTTCTTTGAGGGGTGCTCCCCCGTTCCTCTTTTGCCCTCTGTTGCCTCTGCTGCTGCTGTCGACCTTGTTGGCACCGAGTCGGTCAGCGCTGCGTCTGCTCCTAGTGAGAGGCGCCTCTTCAGCAAGGGCAAGCGGGGCAAGGGAGCTGGAGGAGGTGGTGGGGGCGGCGGTAGTGGCGGTGGAGGCGGCGGAGGGGGTGGGGGTGGGGGTGGTGGCAGAGGTGGGGGCTTCGGTGGCGGCGGTGGAGGTGGAGGCAGCGGTGGCGGTGGCGGGAGGGGTGGGGGCGGCAGAGGTGGCGGCGGCGGAGGTGGAGCTGGCAGAGGCGGAGCTGTACAGCGAGGACCCCAGCAGCAGCAGCGCTCTCGTGAGACCCCTTCACCCCAGCAGCTTCGTGAGTGGTACGCGGGGCGCCAGGGGTCCCTGTACCTACGTCCTGCGCACCGGCGACCGCACTGGAGAGCAGTGTGGCGGCCTCCACGCCTCCCAGCGCTGCTTCGGTCGCCTGAAGGACGCCTGGTGTGCCCAGTTCCCGGACGCCACTGAGATCCCTCGTTGGCATGATCTGCTCAGGTCGGGGGTAGCTATCTTTGATCTTGACTTTGATGCTATTCTTGCTGCTATGTATGCTGTGTCTATTAGTGCTGAGGGTGACTGTTACGTGTGTGTTCCGCCTGACCCTGGTATTGAGGCTGCTGCTCTAGGTGCTAGTGAGTCTGCTGCTCCAGGTACTCGTGAGTCTGCTCCTCTAGGTGCTGGTGAGTCTGCTCTCTCAGGTACCGAGTCGGCTCAGGTCTTTCACACCTTCACCCTCGACTCGGGTGCTTCCCGCTCCTTCTTTCGAGACCGCACCACCCTTACGCCGCTCAGTCGGCCGGTTGCGGTCTCCCTCGCAGACCCCTCTGGGGGTCCTGTCCTTGCTCGCTACTCCACTGTCCTACCGTGTCCGGCGGCCCCGTCAGGCTCTCTGTCTGGTCTCTACCTCCCCTCGTTCTCCACGAACTTGGTGAGTGGTGCTGACCTTCAGGATGCCGG